ATATATATGTATGTATATATATATATATGTATGTATATATATTTGTTATGGTATGGCTCATATACCATATCGGGACAGACGCTGGATTGAAGCGGAGCAGAGCGGAGCGGAAGAATCTGTCCAAATTGGGAAGTTACGTGGGTTGGGGTGCGGGGGGCAAAGCCCCGCAGTTTGGTACAGGGGTAATGTTGTAATTACATATTGTGCCTAGGTTTACTCCTGGGGTTATAAATAGGCCTGTTAGTAACCCCAGGAGGTATCCCTCTATTTTGTAACCCTTTTCTGAATAATGAAAGAAACTCGCCGCTCTGCTCTCGAGGACGTAGGCATCTTTGCCGAACCTCGTTAAATCTTTGTGTTCTTCTGGATTTGTGTCGATTACTGTTTTTCTTCGCCTTTATTTTCTCAACACTTTGCTTATTGAAACTATTAAAACAAAGCAAATTTTAGACACATACAACTCAATTCCTATGTATTTACATATCTAACACTTAAATTGTAGCTTTTACATGAATGCCACTTTACCTATGCATGAAAAGGTTTGTTTCACTTTTCAAAAGTTGCGAGGTTGGTGTTTTTTGGTGATACTAAAGATCTGGGTGGTTTAAAGCAAAGAAGTTAAGTTTAAAAGTTAGATATGTAAATACATAGGACTTGGGTGGTATGTATGGAAATGCCCCTAAAACTAATTACATGATTGTTGGAGGCAAGATCTGAGGTTCAAAATGATAGTTCAAAACGAAGGAATTATTGTACAAGTACATTAGAAAACTCAACGCCATAATTTAACTTCTGTCAATAAATGAATATACTCATAACACGATAAATTGTTATGATCGCACGGTATCATTTTTATCTTGCATCTTTTACTTGACACAACCATGTCATTATTTATGAGCTAACTTGATAATGCATTATATTATAGTTATGGATTAATTCATAATGGGCCCATTACCATTAAATGATGTTATTATTGCTTTATATTGCATTTCTAGCATTATTTTATTGATAATTGATGGTAAATTCAATGCATTTATAATCTTTAACTAAATCCTTTGTTGAATCTCATGGGAGTTAAAAGGATGTTTTATGGGTTTGTTATCTTGAAATTAAACTTAGTATGTTATGCTGCCTATTGAGGATGCTAAATTATAGGGACATATAAGTACATACCACAATTCTTATGTATTTACATATCTAGCACCGAAACATTTATATTTGCATGCATACCAACAAATCTTAACATCACAATATCACATCAAAAAATGGCATCACTACCTTTTCAAAAGTGAAATAGAAATTTTAATGCATAGGGTTACGACACCAACGTGTTATAAGTATAAATATCAACTTTGGGTGTTAGATATGTAAATACATAAGAATTGTGCTATATTTATGTAAGTTTCACTAAAAATTATAACGTAAGTGAGTGCGAATGAGGGTACTTTGCTCTATGTTTGGATGAACTTTTCTTCATTATTTTTTTTCAATTTTCTGAAGATATTGAATGCTAAAACAAAAATTTGTTGTTGGTGGGATTCGGTTTTAGCACCTTCAAGATTTATCAATTAGGCTATTCTTGCAATATAGGTTATATAATTTCTATATCTTTTTCATTGGCAGGGCCTATTCTTCTCGAGGATTATCATTTGATTGAAAAGCTAGCTCAATTTGATAGGGAGCGCATTCCTGAGCGTGTTGTTCATGCTAGGGGTGCTAGTGCGAAGGGTTTCTTTGAGGTCACTCATGATATTTCTAATCTCACGTGTGCCGATTTTCTTCGTGCTCCTGGAGTTCAAACTCCCGTTGTTGTTCGCTTTTCAACTGTCATTCATGAACGCGGAAGTCCCGAGACTTTGAGAGACCCTCGGGGTTTTGCTGTGAAGTTCTACACTAGGGAGGTGAGAACAATAATCTACTCTTATGTTCTTCTGCATCGATCATGTTGTGGTATTATGTTGTAGTAATATTAGGGAAATTTTCATACATGCCACAAAATTCCTTTGTATTTACATATCTAACACCAAAAGTTAGACATTTACATATATAATATTTTGTTGTCATGCACCAATGCATGAAAACATTTGCTCCACTGACAACCAGTTACTAGTAGTGGTATTTTTGATGTGATATTAAGTATTAGAGTGTTATGTATGCAAATATGAAAGTTTGGGGGATAGATATGTAAGTTTATAAGAATTGTGTGATGTCTGTAAATGCCCCATTATGTTATATCATTTCTTATATACTGGACTTTTTAACTTTTCCACATTGATATAGTCTTGCATCATAGAGTTTTGTTCTATTTTTTTCTGCAGTGCATGTTCCCTTGAAACAATTTTGTTGCTCCATATTTTTATCTAATTTTGCATGAATTCTATTTGCAATGCAATTCATTTTATATGCAATTCTTTATCTTTCGTGTCTCCTAGTTTGAACAGCCTTATTTAAAGTGAAAAAATTATTATTGCATGAAATCTTAACATCAATCAATTTCTTCCATCCATTTTATTGATAGTTTAGAGTTAGAAGATTCTTTTGCTACCATATATCTTACGACTTGTGGTTATCTAACTTTTTTTTGGCACTTTGATTTAGTGTAACTCTACCTCAATCTATATTCACGGGTAGCATAATGTGATAAGCCTTATTTACAATTGAGTTAGTTTGTTGAATCTTTTAGGACATATGGTCTTGTATTATTCGTGAGTGCTTGATAAAGACTTGTTTTTAGAAGGGATGTGGAAGAAAGGGATGAATGTGATACTTGAGAGTGTCTCTGATTGTTACTCTTGAGCTTGAACCTCTGCTAAACCGACAAATGGCTCGGTGGAGGCTTCCTGAATTACAATATTTGTCCCTGTGTGAGAGATAAATCGAGGTTCAGCCAATTGAGTAGGTGGGCTCAATTTAGCCACTTCGACAGGTTATCTTTGTTTAGACAACTCGCTGGCCTCTGTGTCAGACTCCATATAAAAATATTTTATTTATGTATATAACCATGTTTATATATACATAATTATTAGTAGGCTTAGATTTCGTTTGTTATTTAGTCATATTTTCATATATGTTTGTGGATAGTTTTGCCAATTTTAAGAGTCTATTTCAATGAATTGGGATTATTGCCTTAAAATAAAGAAGATTGCATTTGGTCTTGTTTGTGGGATTTCTATCTCTTTCAGAACTTACATAAAAGTTATCTAAAAAATGCGGAGATTTTTCGTATTTTTAAAGAATAAGTATCTAAATAGTCTTTTAACTCTTATATTAAGTCATTTTAGTCTCAGAATTTATAAAAATATCAATTTAATCTTCATATTTTTAAAATATGGGCTAATTGATTATTTTAGCCTCAATTAAAAAAGTCTAGAAATTAATTGTTACATCTCGACTCTCTCGGAGTAGAATGGGCCTATATAAATAATTACAGGATTATTCTGGCACTTTATTTTTAAATGAAATTGCACATATTGAATTGTTTGCCTATCTTTGCTTCTGAACTTTATATTCCCATGTAATGCCATGCAATTCTGCTAATTTCGTTGTATCAACTTGCAAATATTGAATCAAACTTAACGTGCCAGATGATGAGAATTTGTTGTTGGCGTATCAAAACTTATTCTCCATACAACTCATCTTCGTCTTCAGGGTAACTTCGATCTGGTCGGCAATAACTTCCCAGTATTCTTTATTCGCGATGGAATCAAGTTCCCGGACATGGTTCACGCTCTCAAACCAAATCCAAAGTCCCACATCCAGGAAAACTGGCGGATCCTCGACTTCTTCTCCCACCACCCTGAGAGCTTGCACATGTTCACCTTCCTCTTTGACGATGTTGGTGTTCCCGCCGACTACCGTCACATGGACGGCTCCGGCGTAAACACCTACACGCTCGTCAACAGCACCAGGAAAGCTCGTTACGTGAAGTTCCATTGGCGGCCTACTTGCGGAGTCCAGAACTTGTTAGACGAGGAGGCCATAATCGTCGGAGGAAAAAACCACAGCCATGCCACCAAGGATCTTTACGATTCGATCGCCGCCGGAAATTATCCGGAGTGGAAGCTATTCATCCAGACAATTGATCCGGACCATGAAGAAAGATTTGATTTTGATCCACTGGATGTCACCCAAACATGGCCGGAGGATGTTGTCCCTCTCCAGCCGGTTGGCCGTTTAGTTTTGAATAAGAACATCGATAACTTCTTTGCGGAGAACGAACAGCTTGCCTTCTGTCCGGCCATCGTGGTTCCCGGAATCCATTACTCCGACGATAAGCTGCTTCAGACGAGAATTTTTTCGTATGCCGACACGCAAAGGCACCGTCTTGGGCCGAACTACTTGATGCTTCCGGCGAATGCACCGAAGACTGCTCATCATAATAATCATCATGAAGGTTTCATGAATTTCATGCACAGAGATGAAGAGGTGCAGTTGTATTTTCTTATGTTCATATGTATGGATTAATTTATTTATTTACCTTTTTTTGGTGGGGGGTTGTTGCAGGTAAACTACTTTCCTTCAAGGTATGATCCTGTTGGACATGCTGAGAAGTTCCCAATCCCACAAACTATTCTTACTGGAAAGCGGGAGAAGGTTTGTTTTCTTTGGAAGATTTGCATACATCCCTCCAAATTTCCAAGTATTTACATATCTAACACCTAAAAATTTGATTTTTACATATATGCTACTTTATTTCTTCAAAATCTGCAAATTATTAACTGTAGAAAATGTGCTATATGAGATATATGAGATGATGGCTGAAGCTGTAAAACTAATTTTTGCAGTGTGTGATTAGCAAGGAGAACAATTTCAAGCAACCAGGAGAGAGATATCGATCCTTCGACCCTGCCAGGTTTTTATACTGACCTTTCTCTCACATACATCCTCTTCCATATACACAAATAATGAAATTTACAGGACAAACCCTCATTATCTCTCTGCTGCTTTCAGGCAAGAGAGGTTCATCTGTAGATGGGTTGATGCTCTTTCTGAACCCCGAGTCACTCACGAAATTCGCAGCATCTGGATCTCATATTGGACTCAGGTTAAACCGTTTTGTTTACTTAGATTTAAATTATTATCAGGTTTCTATCATGTCATGATTTTATCGACAAAAAATTTATTCTAATTGTCGACTACCCAATACAACTTCCACTTTTCTCAAATGGCAGTTCCATCAACAAAAAAAAAAAAAAAGCAATATATCTGTAACAAGAGATATTCATCATCATCATGGTTTTATGAATACATATGTAAATTTTTAACTTTTACATATGTACCAGCTTTCTTATGTATGAAAGTGTATTTCGCTATTGTTTAAAGTTAAAAAATGGTATTTTTGATGTGATATGAAAGATTTTGGGTGGGATAAATATCAAAAGCGGAGTTTAGATGTTAGATGTGTAAATACGTAGTTTTTAATAGAGTGTTGTATGAGGTGTTTATTGCGAATGTTTTGTTGGTTGATGCTATTTGTTTTGTTATGTGGGTGCAGTGTGATAAATCTCTTGGACAGAAGATTGCTAGCCGACTTAACATGAAGCCAAATATGTGAAACACAGAGAGTATAATATGTATGTATTTTAAGTATAGTTGTAGTATGTGCTATAATATGTATTTTAAGTATAGTGCTTTCATTGTGTTCCTTCAGTTATGTCTGTCACTTGCACCTGGAGTCTTCGGTGATTTACTCTTTAATGAGGTGTTGTGTTCATATTTTCTATCAAATTACTGCATTTGATTGCCGAGATTGTTGTTGGGGATGTTAGCGATCTGATTTGCGTCGAGCTAAGGTTGGCTTTAAATAAGCTCGAATCGGTTGAGTGCGGCTTGAAATTTGCTCTCATTGTATTCAATTTTGAGTCAGTTTGAGTGGAAACCGAATCGAGCTCTATATGGCTTGAAATCGAAACGAGGTGGCTTAAGTTGACTTATTTGGATCTGTTTCAGGTTGAAATTGAAATGAGGTGGCTCAAAATGAGGGTGCATTTGGGGTGGCGGTATGATGGTGCACTGCAGCTTTTTCTATTTGGCAAAACTACATTTTTTCTTTATTCTCAAAAGTATCAAGTTTATCCATGGTGGTTGCTAGAAAGTTGCAGTCTCTAAAAAAAAAAAAAATTGTAATAGTTATCGTAGAGCGGCTTTTTTAGCAGCTTCACAACTGTACTGCTCTCGCTACCCCAAACAAACATAAATTAATATTTATATATCTTTTTGAACAAAACTTCTGAAGTTACCCATCAAATTATTGGAAGTTTACAAATACCGAAATTTTAAATGTTATGTAATT